AAATTCCAATTGAAATTGTAACATTGAAAATTCCAATTAAAATATTCAGCAGGGACATCAGGTATATAGACAACCTTCTCTCAGAGAAAAGAATGTATAGAAGGTGGGCCAAAGACTTAAAAAATCAATTTCAGTAGAATTGAACTAAAATGTTTTTGGCATGTTGGTACCTTGAAGCATCAACTGTTATGAGCACAGCTGTATGACTTTACTCATTTTTCTCTATGCCCATTGTAGACTCTGACCTAGATGGTAAGACCTTCAACTGGCATAAAAGGGAGGTATTTAATTCCTACTTTTGACAATCCAAGAGAAAATTAAGAACCATTACTCCCCTTGAAAGGTCAGAACCTTTCAAGTAAGCACCTTAGGCCCTGTGTTATAGGTAACATTTGTTCAAGTTTTTCTATGGAAATGGTACTAATGCAAATAAAATACTTTAATATTCTTCAGAGGCTGAGCACTCTGCCACTTCTCAGAAGAGTGAACTAAGAATCCACAGGTAAAACCCAGAGGTATATTTTTGCAAATTCCTAGTTGAAATCAAAAACCCAAGGTAGATTCATGCATTATCCGAAGGCAGCATTGCTACTTATGTCAACGAAGCTATTCTGTTTACTTTCCTTTCAAGTGCACATAATGAAAGTTACCCCGTGCAAGCATGAATGTGTTTAACATCATACAATCAACACCACAGAAATACCCACACAAAAAGGGAGTGGGTGTGAGGATATGTACCTTTATCTTCCAGACTGCTGTGTTTGACTAAGTCACAAAGTTCCTAGCCAAGCTGAAGGTTATGCAAGTTCCTATCCTATATTACATATATGTGATCAATCACCTTTTACAAAACAAACTATCTGTATGCCATATATTTTCAAAAACATGTGAATTCAGGTGATAAAGTATGATAGAATTATGACCAGTGTGAATACAGGTTCTCTGCAATTGCATTATAATAGTCTGTCTCCCATCGAACTATAATAGGGCACTGAAAAACACGCTATAAAATCCCTTATTTTGTAAAATTGTGGCTCATTTAACAGAGAAATTATGTTCTGAATGAGACAAAACCCCTTAAAATAAACAGCATGTCTTTCTGTCTGTCAATAGTATCTGTGTTTTCCTAACTATCAGTGTCTCAGTAACTTGCACTCCATACTGTGTGAGTTGTAACAACAATACATTGACACTTCAGATACCTTCTTTTTAAATATTTGAGATCATATCTGAGAGCTATAAAAACTGGCGTTAAGGCTGATAGCTATCCCTGATTAAACCTAATCAACCACCCCTGTTAATTCCATTTGTAGATATTCTGGAATAGGATCATCAATACCTAAAGTTAAGAGAGGACAGTTAATCAACATTAATGTCATCTTTAACAGCCTCTGAAATAATTTTCCCAAGATACAAGACTGTTATGAGATCATGTAATTAAAGTCTGTACCATAGAGCATAAATTGAAGGGCATATCCTCACTGAGCTCTACTATTTGCTAAATATCTGAGCACTTCTTTTTTTACTTAAAGGTTTTATTACGTTTGTTTGGCCTGACATAATTTTCTAGTTTGTATGGTTGGGTGGATGGCTGTTTTTTTTTTTTTTTGTAGGGATGAAGAAAGGGCTATGTTTATTTTTAAAAGGAAAAGGAAAAACCTATATTAGGAAAAAATACTCTCTCTCTAACTAGTAATTAACAACAAACTGAAAGAGCTAATACTCAATACTTTCAAGACTATTTTATGGTGTTCCATTAATTAGCAGTGAGCAATCATTAAGTTTATCCTTCTACCAAGGCAAATGAGAACAAAGAAATATATTATATCCATGTATAAATGAAAAAAATATTGTTAAACCTTAAAAACTATAAATATTCCAGTGTTTACTTATTGTCTATAGCGCTAATAATACAGGACATTTAAGAGTATATAATCATTTCACTGCTAAAAACATATCCAATATAATACAACTTAATACTATTGTTTTTCTACAAATGTTCATTAGACACAAGATATCTCTATCTTTAGCATAATTTAAAAATATACAAGCAAAAGTTCAGGGAAAAAAGTAAGTCTTATGTCATTTCAGTAGTGAAAATCCAGTAAAACCTTGAGTGGTTCCGGACTTCTTTTCAGAATTATTTTCCAGTCATCTAACGTGAAAATTTACTAAACTAACAAAGTCTAAACTTACTAGTTTGGGTTCTAGCTAGGTAAGACAATTACATGCATTTCAGAGATAACCAGTTTTTCTTCTGAACAGGTAAATCTGATACTGGCAGCAACATAATTGTGGGAAGCTAAGGATTTAGCCAAAATGTCATGACCATAGAAAATCGTAAATGCAACATAGCTAGTGATATTTGTATATTCTCCTAATGAGTATGTGGGACACTGAGAAAAAGATATATAGGTCAACACACTGCTGTTAGGAATGGTCCTTCATAGCTACTCACAGCTAGATTTCTCACAAACAAGCTTCTCTGACTATTTCAGAATTTTGAAATAAATTATTCTGGGGAAACCTAGTTGTCCCAGAGCAAAAACCTGCAACCACGTAACACAGTTCACTGAACTAAATTTACCCCAAATCAGTGTATTTTAAATCACTGAACTAAATTTACCCCAAATCAGTGTCTTTTAATTCAGATTCTCATCTGAAAAGCAGTTACCCAGAGGTAACTGTAGATTCCTTCCCTTCCAGTTCTAGTCACATAGGCACAAGCACATCATATTTCACATTATACTGATTCCTTCACTGTAACAAAAAATCTCCCCAACTGCAAATTACTCCCTTATGTCTACCTGAGTCCCCGCATTTCTACTACATTTTAAGAAATGGTATGCAGTTTCAATCCTGTAACTAATACAGATTATTCAAATGTATATAAATAAGACTACTGTAGGAGCTACAAACAGAAGTTTTCTTTTTCTCTTTTACAAAACTGAGATGATTTTCAATTCTTTTATGTCTATAATGCATCGTTTACTAACTCTTTACTTCAGTATGATTTTAACTTAATCTGACCAAGAATAAAGTAAATTATTTCAAAATATAGAAAGGTTAACTTTACAGGCATGTTTCCATGAAATATAAAATCCCCTTTCTCATTTAAGTCAAGTATATGCTTCTACAAAAACGGAAAGGACTACTCTGTGACAATGACATTTTCCAATATGGTCATATAGCCTTCCCAACAACAGACAACTGTTTTGATTATCACCAGGGCATATAATAACACATAAAAATCTCCTCAAATGTCTTTAAATTTTTCAGGTGTAATTGCTGCTTTATTTGTTAAATAATTACATAAACTCCTTCTACTATAGTCAGCATTTTTGATTCTACTGAATTTCAGTTTTTATCACTAGTATTTCATTTGCTTAAAATAACATTTTGTAAAATGCAATTCTCCATAGTAAAAACCTGCTGTTAATCATAAGTGCATTCTGTCACTGACAGAAGTTAGGTAATCTGCTGTTCTTGTAGACCATTATTGCTTTTAAAGAAAATTATTATTCCACTTAAACAAAAGGATTAGAAAGTCCTGAAGATAGAAAAAGCCTCAAAGTAGAACTATATTGTTATTAGAATTAATTAATGACATAAAATTATGTAGAATACGGTGTGAAAGATGTATCTATAGATTATGTTTTTAACTACAGTGTTTACCACCCTTATACATGTAAAATTCAACATGAAACGTGTCTGGTTACTGTATCTTCAGTCACTGATGATGCTTTGATTGTATATTAAAACTCCAATATCTGTGCATTTGGCAATTATCCACAACGCAGGTTTTCCAAAAGACTACTTTAGGCAGATGTACAGGAAAATATTATTCAGTCTTCAACTAAAACTAAATAGAGTTCCTCAAGTCCCAGCAGTACTCACAGTACTCACTAGAGCAAACAATTTTAGCACTCCTATAAAAAATAATTTTACTGTATTTACTGTATTTCTCTCTATAGAGCCTATGATGTAAATAAAACTGCTACCCTCTGCAATCAAACACAGTAAAAATACGCAGTACTTCACATTTGCTGCCCTAAAGAGCTCACAGTCTAAATAGATATACTAAGCAAACAGCAGGGAAGAGTGGTAAAATATGAAAGCATATACAGCAATGACAGCAAACATCATGTGATTAGATGTGATTATTTCCTGACATATCTAGACTGTGTTTCATATAAGCATTTCACAACACATAAGACAACAAGGAAATGAACATACTAGGGTGATAATCTGAGAAAACAGAGTTTTCTTTTAATGAAATTTTCCTTCCAAAATTGAAATAAACACTGTAAACATCGTAAATACTAAATTAAAAAGTCTGAGACAGATACAATAATACTACATATAGACCCTCAATGGTATAACCAAGGACTGCAATTGATATCTTGTGGCTTGCTATTAAACAAATGAAATGGTTTTAATGGTATAAAATATAAGGACAGAAGTATTATAACTTTTTGAAAGACTACCATGATTCAGTTAATTTTTGCTCCTATAATACTTGAAAATTACCTAGTAATTCAGCAACTGTGTAAATTTATAACATATTTGTAATAAAAACATCATTTTGATTAAATGCATGGCTAACATGAAACTTGTCAAATAACCTCAAATGCTTAAATTTAAATACGTGCCTGAAGTGCAAATCCTGAAAAGGTACGTACATACACATGTTAACTGAAATACTATTTACCTGATGCAGTGCAAATCCTTGGTATTTAAAAATGGGTACATATCTAGGTACTTTTCTAAAGATGATCATATTTAGATAGTATTATTTATACTCTCCTTTTTTTCATGTAGAACACTGTAAAATTTATGAGCCACAGGTCTGAATATTAAAAAGATTAAATAATTATGACAATAATTCAGACTATATCTGTGCAATCAAGTAACATCAATTGCAGTTGGGTTTATTTTTCCCTATATAGCCTCTCAAAAAGGCTTTCAGGTGAAAAACAAACCCTCCTTTATGTACAGACCTTCATAAGATTCTATCTCCTTGTCTCCATTGTCTAGGGAAAGTAACAAAAACAAAACAAACAAACAAACAAAAAAAAAAGGAACCAAAGCACAGGGGTTAAAAACAACAGAAGTTTTAGAAAAGATACAATATACATGTTAAAAAGGATTAAAAAAAAAAAAGAGTGTATATGGCCATTTAGACTGATTTAGCACAGCACATCTAATTATCAGAAGTGGAAAGGTGAAAATGTATTTCCTATCAAAAATGTATTTATATACCTCTGTTTTTAAACATTTTGGAAAATGTCTCCATTGACCAGTGTTTTTATAAGACATTAAAGATAAAGACAATTACGGTACAGGTAAAACATGACTCATGAAATATCCTGCTGACTTTTCCTATTTTAAAGTTTATTACCTCTCTTCTTGCTTTTCCTGTTTCAGGATGCAGAGGGTTTATATAAGCAATCTGTAACACACTCCATGTAAACCCACAAGTGATCAGCTATTCTCCTAACTCCCAAAAGAGCCAGAGTTTTATCACTAAAGAACATACAAAGGATCATTTCCTGTGCCACTTGAAGTCAATGACAAAACACCTACTGAGTTCAAAAGGAACAGGATCATACTAACAGTCCATCTTGGTTCATGTGTATTGCACTGTTGATGATTATTTTACTGCTGATGATTCATTTCATTCAAGAGTATTGTACAGACTAAAATATAAGAAAATACAAGATACAATACTATTATCAAATCCTAATTCTGTACACAAAACTCAATAGATTTCAACTATAATGTCAAAATAAAAATAACGAATATGATCAACCTTCATGAGCAATTTTGCAACATCAGTAAGGAGAAAACCATACACTTACTTCTCTCCAACGTCCCCTTCGGTGGGAGCTGCGGTAACTGCCTGCCCCTTCTCCCTACTACTGGAGTACTTGATGGACTTGTCTGAACAGACCCAGTTCGAGGATGTGACCTGTGAGACACATATCAGAACAAACCATAGCCATTTAATGACAAACTCATCCTTAAATACCATCAAGAACTGATTACATGACTAAGTAGGCTTTAGATCACTTGGGACCCTTTCAGTCTCATAGTGAAACTATTGTCTCTTTTCATAAAAAGACCTGATTAAAAAGAGATATCTCTCTGTGAATAAGAAGAAAGCCAAACTAAGGATGAACATCCATAAGATGTTTGTTTGCACAATCAAGCCAGAAAATTCGTTGTGTGTATATTCATATGCATATGGATATAATACCCACATACACATAAAATTATCCAAAAGTCAAATTCAATGATCTTTACTCAGTTTGTATTTGGTTAAATTACCATTGAGATTACAGGGATTTGTCTAAACAAAGTAATAAATTGAGAAAGGACACTGGTATTTGACTAACTCTGGTGATTTGATGTTACTATCTCTAATGTTCAGAGTAGTTCTAAAATAAGGAGAGGCATTACTGAACATCAACTAGACCAAAACGTACTCATCTTTTTATTGTATTATGTTTATTTAAGGTAAGAGTAATGTATAGTAATCTTCAAAATGTCAATCAGTAAAGTATAGCACTCAAACAGGAACAATACAGACTATGGCACAGTAAAATGTAGTTAGAGAAAATGGTGGTTAAAATGGTAATATTAATAGACAAAGTTAGTACGGTCCATTTAAAGAAACTTTTTTTTTTTTTTTAAATAGTTTCATTTGATGTTGTTATGATGGTTGTTCCATAAGTGATGTCTGATGAACACAAACAATTTCTCATACTGTAAGAGAATATGATAGTTATGAGGTGCTTTATGTGGGAAACCATCCAGGATTCCTGATAAATGATAAATCACAAACAAATGTAGTTAAATACTGTTAGCAAACAATTTGCAATGGCAGCCACACCATTATATTCAGTGTAGAATATAAATAGTGTGTTGGCACTGAAAGGGTTAGTATCTATTGCTACTAGTGATCAGCTAAGGATGAGGCGATACCAATTAGCTACTGGGAAAATAAAATGGTGAGCTGGTGGGGCAGAAGGGGATTAGTCTGATTGATTTGTCTGTTTCACCTCGGTAAGGCAGGTGAAGGAGGGGCAGATCTTCCAGTCATTAATGAAGGCATCGACCTGATGAGGTTTGAGTCAGGACGCTCTGTGGATCGGGAGCGGGAGTTGGTCCGCTCTAGCATAGGACGTTGCTCTGTTGATCTGGATCTTTGATATAGCTGTCTATCTGCTGCTTCACAATTCCTGTAATGTTAGTCAAAAAGCAGCTCAGTTGACCTTTGACTTTTTATTAATTATAAAATATGCTGCATGATACCGGTTTGGAGCAAATCATTTTGTTATGTACACTCTTTTGGGGGGGTAAATCTTCTGAGTTCGCTTCTTGATAACATACAGGTTTTTTTATACATGTATGATTTGGCTTGCTCCATACTCTTGCTAAATGGGCTGAAATGCTTCCAATGTCTCAGTAATGACTATCCATGCAATAGTCTGTTTCCTGACAATTTCTGGGTAAAAATATTGTTATCTTGTTAATTAATACATCAACCTTGGAGGAAGAGAATAGCTGACATAATATTAAGTGTCACTAAACCTAAGGACTCATTTAATTGTGCAGTTTAATTGAGCATTTTTACTCACATGACTAGAATTTTACAGGCTGCATTATCTTTAGAGGTAATACTCTTATTCCAGATGTTATAATTACTATGTAACACTGTTAATTGTTATGTAGCACTGTTAACTATTATTAGGATGTCTGTCAAAATATAGGCTAGGCTGTAGTGATGGATTCATATGCAGTGCTTGGACTGTAGTCAGATGAAAATCTACAACAACATTAGTACTTGCAGAGGTTCCACCAACTAGACAAAGTTTGGCTTGTAATAAAAAACAAATATTCTAACCTACAGCCTGAAGAACTGTGTCAGAACACCAATGGAAAAAGTTACTATTAGAGATGCAGTGAGGAAAAATTAGACTGAGTAAAAAAGAATTTCTTGACCAAGCAGTCTGGTCTTCTACTGTCTTAGGCAATTATTCATGCCATTAATTTCAGAAATTAACCAAGCCTCACCTTTTTTCACAATGTAATTGGTCTGTTTGCAAGGAGTAATATTTGTTAGCAATATCCTAAAATATATAAAATCAATGTAATTTTAAAAGTAAAATCCATAAGCTGATGTAACTACTTATTAAATTCATACTCTTCCCAGCTCTCCTTGAGTAACTGAACAGCTACTGAATACAAATGGGGAACAGGTACCCTTCAGGACTTTTCCTTGAGCGAAGTCATGAATTTTACAATGAAGTCAGTTAAGACAAAGAGTGACTGGATGGTGATTAAGTGTAACAAGAAGCTGAATTTTAATTAGTATCAAAAAAAGAGAGGGACATACTACAGCCTCATTATGAAGAGTCTTATGTTACTAACAGCATTTTATTTCTAAAAACTATATTGAGATAGAGTATAGTTGTCTCTGGGGTATCTAACTTTGCCGAATGGGTTGATAAAAGATTCTTTAAAACAAATGTCTCTTCAGGCCTTCCATGAGGTAATAATTGGACTCCTGAGCATCCGAAGGAATTGCCACAGACAGGTTCAGAATAATACCATTCACCACGAATCTACATCTACAAGCTCCTAACAAGCAAACACACCACAGTGAGACACGTAATGGTAATTATAAGCTGAGGCACTAAAGGTTGGAGGAAAAGTAAAATGAGCCTGGAACAAAACCACAACAAAATTACCTCACTTCTTCTTCTATCAGTTCTGTTTCTGAATGGGAAACTTCATCAGCAAAAACATCCACTGTCTCGCTTCTTTTACATTGTGGATAGACAAAGAAACACAACCTTAGCTTTGATGTGAATGTCACTTAGTTTAGGTAACTATTTAAGAGAGGTTTCAGTGCTATGGAAGGTGGGAAAGGTGTCAGCCATCTGCATGGTGGTTAAAAAAATGACCATGGGAATAAATTCTTATACTGTGGGAATAAATTCCAATAAAAAATATTCCTGAATCCAACAAAATTACAGAAGAAAATATGACCAAGGTCCAAACAACCCACCCCTACCTTGTTTATCCACATATTTAAGAAAATCAGTGAGCCCACAGAGACTTTTTTCTTTGGGTCTGTCACACAAAGCTAGAACAACACTTCTGCCAGTGAGTGGGGGACTGCTGGAGCACGCAGCAGCAGGAACTGGACAATATGGTGAGAGGTATCATTCCATTTTCTATTTCTCTCTTCTTCCAACAGCCAATAGGATATACAGAGGAACAGGTGAGTGACAACCACATGATTCTCATAAACACTTCATGAGAAGTTAAGCCTCTTTCACTTGTTACTGTTAAGGCCTCACTTTAGCTGTAGTATAAAAAGTAGTTTTTAGGATGTTAGGGATCTGACCCATTGCCTGTATTAAAGGCAGGGAGGCATTTTTACCATTAGGGTCAATACTAATGGTTAAGTGGGCAGGTTTTGTATCCTGCAGAGCATCATGGATCTGCTATAGCTAACCACTATGCTAACAGATAAAGGCCTCAGAAATTTAATATTCAATAGTTAATATAAATATTCAGTTTTCTGCAATATCCAGCTGGCATGTACTTCAAGTGGGAAAACAACCAGGAGGCCCCATAAGTGAAGGAGAACAAGGATTGTGGCAGAGAACCTTTTGCTTTTCATGGAGCTTTGGCATCACTGCTGTTTTGTAGACTCAAGGATTTGAAAACTAAATTGAATCCTGAGGTGAAAATGAGTTGAGGTCCTCAAGTTACAGGCTACATGCTGAAACTTCTCAGTACCCAGAGCAGCAAACAGATGACTATATAATAAGCATATTGACAGTCTTCCACTTCAAAGCTTCACTGTGTGGTTTTAGATTACACACATACAAAAAAGAATTCAACAGTTTTACTGTCTGTTCTTTGTCCTCACATATGTTTTTTTTTGTCCTTTTAACAGTAAACACATGTGCTATATGATCCAGGTCCTCAGAAATGAACTGTAGCTTTTATGGAAAAAATACCACTCCAATAATCTGCTTGGGCAGTGAAGCTCCTCACCTACTACAGTATACAACTATACATTAATATCACAATCCATCCATAAGCATGCAAGGGGAGTTTTTAAAACACCTTAGTGTATTAAAAACAGAATTTTATAATTTTTCAGATAACATTCTTTAGGGCATATGCTCTCAAGTTATCAAGATGAAAGTTTCCTCTTTTCTCATTACAATTTGTATCATATGAATTACTGATTTTTACAGAGGGAAATAAAACAATCTAAGTTAAAGTATTCAACATCCATATAATATTTTAAGGTATGCTAGAGCTGTTTATCTTTGCTAAGAGACTTTTCATTATGAAAAATACAGTTTATGAAATGTTGAATACTGACCTCCTCCATTTAGTATTGCCTATTATAGCATGCTTCTACCTTTGCTAAGGAAAACATGGATGGCAGGTGGCTTATTTCCCTATCACAATCTACAAGACTTGTGAGTATAACACCCCTGCAGTAACAAGAGTACAGCAGTGTTTGCTTCTTAACCAAGCACACCTATCACTCTCATACTGTTTGAGCTCTCTGTAAGCCACCATGCAGAAATCTGTGAGTATTCACAATCTAATTTTATATTCCAAACCCATCGAAAATTAGAATGAAAATCCCATACTATTTAGGTACCACTGTAAATTCTACTAACTGCAGTATCTAACCAAAGGTGCTACAACATTTTGATTTAACTACTGATTTATCTGCATTGTTCTATATTCATATTCTGGAAATTTCAAAAGGTAACTATTTTCCCAATGCAGAAAATAACCATTTCTAATTTTTAATTTTTCAGATTTGTTACTTTTCTTAACATATCAAAAGGAGAATTTTCAACAAATGAATACATTCATTGATCTAAACTTATGTATAGACAAAGCCTTATAAAAGATGAACATTTTTCAACAGTAAGCAAACTTAACAGCTTACAACGCAAATAAAAGTTATTTTGTCCCCAAAATAACTGAAAGCAGTTTATTTGAAAGCCCATGTTAAATTCTTGTACTGTGTGCAAGACTAAAAAAGCAAGCTATGAGATCACGCCAATCACAATTTTAGTACTAGGTTGTTCTTGTAACAAAAAACTGAAGAAATAAAAATAGAATTGCTGTAGGATTATAGTACACTACAATTCAGCTCCTAGTGCATCTTTTTTCATCTAGAAACACTGAACACAGAACAATAAAAATACAGCAATACTTTTTCTAATATCATCATTTCAAACTTCAGCTAATATACAATGGTAATACCTGTCAGTGTCTGTGGATGGCTGCTGGATTTCAATCCTTGGACATGTTATTCTTCTACTAGCTATAGGAACTTTGCTGTTTAGTCACAGACACAAGATCCTCTGTTAGCATAACATGGATAGGCATGTCTACAAACAACTGAGATTTCTAGTACCAAGCAAACTTAAATTTGAGTCATAAGTATTGTGATGGAGAATGAGAAAATGCGAATGAGCAGTATACTGCCAAGCATGTAGATAAACTGGTGACTGGATATCTCACCAAATCACTCATCTATACCTATAAAGAAACTTAATATAAAATCACGTGCTGCTACAGTTTTTAAAAGCCAGGAACGTAATGTTTTTAGGTACTCTTGCAAAATAAACAAAAATAGGAAGCAAAGCAAGATATTTGATATTTTTGATGCACTAATATTCTACCATGCTTTATATATATGTAGTGTATATATATATATATACATACATACATGCACACACTCATATGATCTATTCACATGCACATTACACTGTGGTGCATGTGATAACTACAGGTATATCTACATGACAGTCATAGGCATGACTACACTGTAACATGCCAGTACCTGAACTACTTTCCTACTAGCTAACTCAGCTAAGCAGACAGAGCAGAGAACTCAGCTGCGATTCCAGGCACATTGTGCTCCACACTGCTATGTGCAGATCTCTACGACTACAGAAACTCAGTTGCTTATAGCTTGCTCAGGTATCTGTACATGGCATTGCGGTCACTTTGGTGATTCTGTTGTAGTCATTTCTAATCATGCTAACACATGATGGCACAGTACAATTATAAAAATGCTTAAAGAAAACACATAGCTGTATCTATAGAGATTTACTCTCCAAAATATGTTTCATCATCAATAGATTCACTGAGGAATAGCAAAGCCCTGCTTTAAGTAGGAAATTAGACCAGACAGTTTTATCAAGGTTCTTTCCAACCCAAACTAATTTGTGATTCTATGGCTACAGTCAGAGGTTTAAGCTAGCTCTTACAATCAAATATCAATAAAACCAGTAAGTAGTGTCAATCCTGGAACAATCAAGACTGAGATGATGTGCTGAAATATTTCATACCCTCTCTATATGTAAAATCAGACCAAATACACATTAATTCTGTGTATTTTGGAGGAATAGAAAAACAACTTGTATGTTTGAAGGGAAAATTGTATAAATATGTAAGCAATTTTTTCTTCATAGAAAATCTTAACATTAAACAAAACGAAGTGGTGAATGCTTTTGAGAAAAAGGCTTCTTAACTTCCAGTTAACATTTGCAACTGCATTCAAATGAATGCAAACAAAGCAAATTAGCTAATAATAATACTAATTTCACTTAACTAGTTGACTTTAACTTGTATTTTAATCCAAGGTGATTTCTCAAAAAATGAACCTTGCAGGCTACCTTTTCCTTACACATAGGTGAGCCAATGAATGCAAGCAACATATATGTTGCCTTAAGTCCTACCAATTTATTTACTTTGCACTTACTTTATCATATTAACTTTTATTCATATTTTACTCTGTGCCTACAATATTAAATGCTTGGAGGTGTTCTCTCACCACTAATTTAGAAGTCTGAGAGACTTAGACAGATTTTTGCTATAATATAATATGTTAAGTATTTGTTTTTATGTTACTGTTTCTGGTAATTATAACATATATTTCCATTTACATAGCCGGTTGCCTTTCATAGTACCTTGTATTTTGCCATCTACTTCCAACTTTCAGTATCTTTAAACTAGACCTTCAATTGATGCATATTAAAGAATCACACTGCAGGAGCACATATCTCTGTCTTGATGAGATGACTCACTGAAGATCATGATAAAACTGATTAGCATTCAAAAGCTGGGAACTCAAAATTCTCAAAGAAGAGAGCTGAAATCCTTTCCCCTCTCTGTCCCCACCCCACTCAATTTTCTAACTGAATATACTGGTGCAATTCTCTTCAATAATCTAAATTTTAATTAAAATATTAGAAATATTCCAAAGTATAAGTGTTTCAGCTTTATATTATAATTTTATTAAACATTTTTTCCCATTTCAGAACACAATATTTCACTCACTCAACTTGAATATTTTATCATAATGTATGAGCAATGACAGGAACATTCAAGGGTTTTAATGAACAAGTATTTCATGTCTGAAGAGCAAGTGGTATATAAGACAATGCACAGAGAAGCTTGAGAGAGAAGCAATGAGAGAAGTATTTCCTAGTAGGGCCTGAATGATCACATGTAGTTCAGCAGAGCACTTAAGAGTATAGACTAATCAAATGAATTAGTTGTAGGCTTAAAACTAAGCATGTACATAAATAAGCCTTTGTGCAGTACTAAATGCAAAATTTGAAAAGTACTTGGTTCTTGGTGAGTTTTGTGAGATTTTTTCCTACAGATCTTAAATATAACTTTATATATACATGGCACACTGTATTTAGCTGGCCTCTTTATTTCCAGTAACATTTTAAAGATCAATAATAGGGCAGACATTTAATGAGTATATTATCACAAACAGCGGTTAATACTGTAAATACGTGCTTATCTGTCTTAGCTTTTGGCAACAGACTGGTAATTCTGACCTCACTGAAGTCAAGAGTTCTGTTACTTGATGAGGCTGGGATTTCAATCAGATCATTCCAAGATAAGCAGTTATGTAAGACTTTATTATCTTTTAAGCTCTTAAATTACGAATCAACAAAATAGTATGCTGTTTCTGTTAAAGGCATTCTGTAAATCCATTCACCTCAACATAATATGATCCATTTTGTGGTCTTCATTCTGTCAAATATGTTCTATGACTTATGGTCTATCTAAAAGTCATATTGGTTCAGAACAAATGTTCTTCTCTTTTATTTCTGTTTCCACATCTTTTTGGAGCTAAATTTAAATAGGGACAGAGAGTACTAAAAAATAAGTTTCTTCTTCAAGTTACAAATCTGTTTTTCCCCCTGATATTTACCTATGTTAACATCTATACAGTGCTAAATTTAACACAAGTAAACCAGAACTATTTAATGTGACAATCAAAAGCAAATACAAAAGCTTTGTTTACACTAAGCACTTTTCAGCCTTCTTCAAATGCTGTCCATTGTCAGTATGCTTGTGCTCTTTCCCAGGAAGAAGTAATAAACATGGCCCTTGCCGGTAAGCACAAATTAAGTGTATACTTCAAACACTTGAAATTGAAGAGAGAGCAAACAGTGGCACTCTGGTTCAAAAAGTTAAGGAAGAAATATAGTTTCAAGCAAGTCTCCATGGCTGCACTAATGCTGAGCCAAAAGAACCTTACAAACTTCTCCTCTCTAGAGAAGAGAGAACCTTGCATTAAAATATTAAAGGATTAATTCTGGGATTTATCAGATTTTTTTAGTTTCAACTTGACAAAATCACTTATGTTCTTTTTCAGTCTCTGAATTCCTTAAGCAGGAATTCCTGTTTTAATCAATATATACAGGATAAATATAAATCACAATTTTATTTAAATAGCCTTAGGACTGCAGGTGAACTGTGACTAATCCTTTTTATAAATATATATCTTCTGTTGTCGATATATAGTATCATTTTATATGGTTTGTTATATTCAACTAAGAACAGTCTAATAGGCTTCCAGTGATCTGTTTTAGGTACATAACTAATTCTCCAGGCAGAGATATTGACTTGTATGACCACAAAAGAATAAATAGAAACACAACATTCAAAGTATTGGCCGTAATTAATTTGCTAATAAGTAATTAATTCAATATCCATGCACAATTTACATGTTATTAAGTATTCATATGCACAAAATTATAGAATTTGAGACACCAATGTATAGCATTATTTTATGTAATTTAGCAACAAATATTTTTGAGATACATTTTTGTAACTTTTAGTTTTTAGCAACTTCTAGTCTTCATCAAGGAAAAGTTCCTGGTAACTCTGCAGGAGTTTCACTTAAGAACTTCAGGATTTACCAGCATTTTGAACTCACACCATATGTTTGTTTGTTTTAGTCAGCCAAAATATGCCACCGGCATAGTCCAGCCTCTATTTAGAAGATACAAAAGGGCAGAAAGAAGAGAGCTCTGTGCACATTCACAAAGGAAGTAAGTAAAAATAAAGAAGAAAAATTTTGCAAGAGCAAGAGGAAAATGAGGGAGAGCAGTGAAGTCAAAGAACAAATAGCAAGGAAAATCAGTGCACTCCCTTGATCAGGAGCCAGTTGCAGCTGGGAAGGGCTGAAGATTATAAAGTACACAGCAGTCTGCATGGGTTATGGATCAATCTCACAGCAAGACAGGTTGGACATTTAGAACTGGGATTATTTCCAAAAGTAAAAAGTATTAGGTCTCAAAGACACATTCCCCAACACCGTGAATGTAGGCAGGTATTATCAGTCAAAGCGCCTTTTTTCATTAAAGCAGCCCTGAACATTGAGAACATGTTTTAAAAATAGTTCAAACATAATTAATGTTCTTTTTCTATTTGTAACTCAGTAAAACAGCTTATCTTGGAAGAAAGACTAGCACATAAGTGTGCCTTAGTACTGAGTCAAGAAAGAAAGACATCAAGAAAAATATACTTATTAGGAATAACTTTAGTTCAATTATAACTGAACTCTTATTATAAAGATTAGAAACACATTTTAGCTATAGCTGTAACACTACACTCTTTACTTACCCATAATTTTCAGCTGAACCATTGACTACATGATCTGCCCATGAACTTGCACCATTGTACCACCTTTACAATGCAGTTAAAATAAAGAAATGTTATAAAGAAACATATGTATTAATAATAACACTCTAATTCATATGACATGACCACTTCTCAATAAAATTGGAAGCTTTCCAAATGTTTCTAAATAATTTTGCACATTTCCTATTTTCTCTCAGGTATGAATAAAACCATATGCTTTTAAATTAAACCCCAAGCAAATCATGTTTAATTTTTCCTGATATAATTCATAACATATTCCGCCTTTATTCTATTCAGCAGTTTAGCTATGAATTTCAGTTCCAAAAAGACTAACTGATCCCTTGTCTTTTCTCACACAAAAGTCTTCATGTTTTCAATGGCTACTGAGTTTGTGGAATAATTAAAAAATAATTGGGAGGACATCACATTAACAAAAATAATATTCCATGTAGCAATAGTATAAAATACTGATTTAAACTTCAAATATCTATCTTCTAAATTTTTTGGTTTTTTATTTGATAGGGAGGTTGGTTTTTACAGTTACTTACAGAAGCAGAAGAAAACTCACTTTACTCAGATCAAACAATGAAAAACTAATGAAATTTTATATATCTATTATTCTTCCAGGCACTAAACATGGGCTACTTAAACATTTGCAGCATCATTTCAGCAAATCAGTTGAAGACAACATAAAATGCATATAGAAATATTTATACTTAAATAGAACCACTGAGAAAATAAATAATGTGACAAAAAAGCTAGTTTTATTTCAGAAAGCAGGAGATAAACCTTTTATGTGCCATTACTCCAGCATATTAAAAATACACACAAATCATTCAACATTTGGTTAAGGAGTTTCAGCAGGATCTCTGAGCTCCATATTTTCAGGATCTTGCTCAGGTAAAGCCTTGGAACTGCAATAGTCCCACTATTCGATGATTTCCACATGACAGTGAGTGAGAAGCAAGGCAGGGATTTTAGGAAAAGAGTGAGGGACCACCATATTATCAACCTGAATATAAATCCTCCTTTGTTTGTACTGAAAACCCTAACCAAAGCCTGCAGGATGAACTTTTTTAATGGCTCAGATACACTTATGCAAGGGTTTTCATTAATCTGTTCCTGGCAATCTCAGCAGTATTTTTTGCATTACTCCATTTTTTTCCAAACTTCTCAAATTTCAGAATCAGGTTTTTCAATATGTTTACAAACTAAATAACCCCACACTTCCTAATTATTTTGTTGAGGGAAGACAGTATGGAGTACAGCATACACGTATGTCACTCAGCTGCTCTTGTTTCTTTGATATCGAATTGAATGGTATGGGGAATGGCTTTTTTTTTTTGCATGGTTTGTAGCCAGAACAATGTCAGGATTAAAGTTACTTTAGTTTAATCTAATTTGGTTTTAGATTTAGTTCAATCTAAATTAGAATACAGCTGGAGAATGACAGGTATATCTTTACACTCTCCCTGATCACCTGTATCCTTAAAACCAAAGCCAGTCCCTCCAGTTAGCCAGTATTTTAAGTAAGATTCTTCTGTAAAAGTATTTTATTATAGACATCCTAAATACATATGCATGGTTTTAAAATTGCAGTGCACTCTATTTCTTGTTAAATATGACTGTATTTATTCACAGCAGTCAAATAAAAAAAAATTCCTTGCTATTAGAAAATAATCCCTGTTTTGCCTGCTACCATACTATAGACAAAAATCAGACACTGATTTAAAAATGGATGGCAAAATATAAAAGATTGAATTGTACAAGGGATAGGAACATCAGCTTGCTTCTTCCTTCAGATTTCCTGCTTTTTGGACTTTGCCTAGCTCTTTAAACATGAAATGCTGTTATCAAATAACTATTTCCAGAGACACTCCAAAAGTTTTTAGATTACATGTCAGATTTTAGTTATATTATGTTCACTGTGATACACTATATACATATCCAAACTTAAGAGCAATAGTACTTTCAGTCCTAGGACAGCAAGCACTCAAAATCAATTTGAAGGCATTCAGTTAGCCACTTTTAAGTCAATATGGACAGTAACATGTCAGAAGCTGAGGACCTTCTTAAGTAACTTAGGTTATTAAAAGAATGAAATTGAGTATTCTAAATTGTCCTATAATCATTCCTAGTGACTCAGAAGTTTAGCCATTAGAAATATGCTGCCACTAAGTGGAGAAAAAACTTCATTTGTACCTAACTCATCTGTACTATTCAGTTTTCCTCCCACATCTAATGAATAAAAAATTTTTCAAGTTAAGAATTATACGTAAAAAAAAATCCAAAGTCAAGTTAAATGAGGGCTAAAAGAAAATTATTGTATTTAGAGAAATACTGCATAAAGCGCACTATAAATTTAAATATCATTAGCCTAGACCAATTAAAAATTTTAGACTATGCTTCAGAAAAAAACTATTACTCAACTTTATCTATTTTTACTATATAAATTAAAATACCTTTCAGGAGTATAGGCTGTGTCGTCATAATATGAATTAGGCACTCTTCTCTCCTGCCTAGTCCTCCTGAATATGGAATAAACAGCACAGATATTTCAGACATTTTAAAGGGTGCTTCATTCATGATGTTTTCCCTCAGTATGTTATTAAGATAGTGATGAACATAGACCACATTTATTTACAGTTCTGCAGTATATTCTGAACATATATTTTCACATATATGTAATTTTAAACTTCTATTTTCAAATTATATTCAGAAATAATTAGCAACATATTAAGAACACTTGATCAATGCACACATATTTCATAGGAGTGAAAAGTGACATTAATAGGAAAACAGTATTTGAGCAACTGAGAAATTTCACCAAAAATAAGATATGGATGTTAGAAAATTTCTGACTAGCAAAACAAAAGTCAGCAAACAAAATGGAAACAAAATTTTGTTTCCTTAGGTGAAGCAACTAAAATTCTGCCTGAAATAAATCTCGCATCCTGCACAAAATGTGCACAAACCAGCTTTTATTGACTTCCAAACACTAACCTCAAATACTAAGTGAAAAAAAATGTGGTGTTCTCAGTGACTAAGCTGAGCTCTGAGATGGGTTAGTTAAGAAAGAATTTCATACAGTGAGGTTTTCAAAAGATTTTTATTTGGGAGGAACTACTAATATTTTAATTTTAAAAACAATTGGGATAAAAATCTTGAGAACATTACTCTGTCATTGAGATCATGTGTATGTCAGACAATTTAAAATGGGTGACTGTCAAATTATGAACTAACCTGAATAACTCTGTAGGACTGTGAATTGGGGGATATAAGTAAAGCTCTACATGTCCAGCCATAATGTCTTATATATACGTTCAATTGGATTAGCTGCAGCAGTATGAACTGATACCAGCTAGTACTACCATACTGACTACCACATTAAAGAGTCAGTGAAAACTGGAGTGGGGTGCTCAGCAGCAGGGTGCTCCTGAGAAAGCCTTGGGTCCAAAGGACAGTGAAGTCACTGAAGCTGCGCATGTGCCTATTGTCTCCTTATGCGTATGCTGGAGCAAGTACGTTGTCAATGCCGCCTCCATTTCTTCTGGGAGGGAAAGAGTTGAACTTCAAAAAGGGAGGAACTATCATGAAGACAAAATGGAGAGTGCTATAGCCTAAGAATGAACTCAGACATTAAGAATTTTGATAAAGTAAATGTATGCTAGAACTAATGAGCTAAAGACTATCAAATCTGATCAACAGTAATCGAAACAAATGTCAGCAGAGAACCAAGTAGTCACTCTGTGGGGGAAGAAAGGAAAAAACTGCTAGAAGAGACCACAAGAGTTAATGGGCTGGCTGTGAGTAACTACCAGATAGGAAAGGAAAGGAGCCATGAATAACAAAGAATGTAAGTAATTTTGACTGATATATCTGTTTGACATATTTGCCTGCCGACACTGGTGGATTCACAGTGACATAAAATATAAGACTCTGTCCCAAATTAGAGACTCTTCCCTGAATGCTGTTTTGATGAATAGCAGAAACTGGAAAGTTATCTCACATGCTTAATAAAGTGAAAGTAAATGACAGGAAAAGAGGTGGTTGTTTGATATCAACATGACATTGATTAAGCAGATAGAACTAAGATGGCAGGAGCAACACCTTGATCTACAAAAATAATGTAATTTAAAGTAAGCATTAAATGGAAAAAGTTTTAAAGGTAAATGAGGAAGTTTTGTCTAAAAAGTAATTTTTCCTATATTTTTTCAAATAAAATAGAAGAAATTGATTAGTGTTTTTCAATGGATAAGGAGAAAGTAGATAAAGATTATGCTTTAAATGGTTCTTAAATACCTAGATAACTGCTGTCAGAATATAGACAGATAAAAAGGATGAAAAACTAGGAACAATTATATTGGCTATGAGGTACTCAGAGTAGTTCATATCTGGTAAGATGGCTCAAGTAACTTGAACACTAAGGTTACCCGCAGGTAGACTGGATTCAAGAGGACCAGAGAATCCAGGATCGGTTCCTAGGCCCAAGGAATCTTAAAATACTGTTTTAACAGTGAGCTACAGATATTCCACTTCATATTGGAATTTCCTTTCTGTCCCCAGGAGGAATTAACTTTAATAGCCTTCTCCTCAATAAATCCCTGGAAAAGATGTACTCCATCTCACTGGTGAAATCCCAGCTTTTTGATCTCTATGCAGTACTGTCACTTTTGTCATTTATTTTCATTGATTTTACTTTATTTTTGAGAAATTAATTTCTGTAGAAAGAATGATTAAGATATGCAAGTCAAGATCATCAAGCTAAGACAATTTGATAATAGCTCCAACTTTCAGCAATGTCTGGACAGTCACAGATACGACTGACAATCTGGAACTGGTTCAAATAAACTAATGCAAATGTGATTATATAACTAAGGCAAAAAACAGTATATAAAAATTAACTATTGAAATAGAATATATATGGGCACATTTCATTATATATTTTCAGAAAACAAACCAAAAATCCCTCTCCTTATTAAAGTTTCTACATGTGGACTGAACTACTTACACACTTTCTTTATATTAGGTTTCATGTAAAACAGCATAATTTCAAAAGAAATGTTTAACTGAGTTATAAAGCTTATAATGTCTATCATATTATAGCTTTGGAGAATTTTTAAAAAGCATTATTTCTTTGGAAGGAACACTTTTACAATACTATAAAAGTTTCAGATTCTATTTTGTTTCTGCACACAAAAGTAGTTTTACACTTACTAAAAATATGGTTATATATGATCTGAATCCAGAGCAAACCTTAATAAACTCCTCAGAGGAACTCATATCTGGAGGACAGCCATGAATTTAATATATCAAGAATTCTTTAGTTCTTGCTATGGAAACTTTTACATGGCCCCCCTTATAAAGAGATAGACACATCAACCACTATACCTGCTATCTGAGATATGAAGCAACCACCTCCTTTTTATTGGCTCATTGTTTATCAGATTAATATCGTTGTTTCTATTTGCACACAACTATGTTTCTTGTTTTGCAATATTTCTGAAAATATCACAACATAGTACTACCACTATATTTCATATACCACTATATAAAGCCACTATATTTCAAGTATAATTATTTATTAAAAATCATTATGGGATCAACTTCTCTCTGCCTCATATTTCACATATAAACAGGAACTCTGATGTTCTGTAATCACATACAAGTATTGTGAATGTATACAAGTACCTATAAATTACAGAATAAATACTATACAAATATCTACAACATAAGCTTATACTTTTCACTCTATTTTTCAGTTAAGCAAAGTATGAGATTTCAGAAAGACTCTGTTTCTGTGTACTTTGAAGTAGATAGGCTTTTCCTCATCTTATCAAAGAGAATAAATACTACAAGCACTTTGGAAAATTCCAGCAAAATTAAGCGTTATACAAAGACATTTACATATAATATCCATATAACCTAATTTATGAAACTGACTTCTATAAAGCCATTCAGCTTCTCTTGGAATTCACCCATAGGCCTGAGTAGTTAGTTTTAGATGCATACATACTCACAGAGTATTATAAAACATCTTCACTGTATGTGTTCATCAATTAAAACATAGATCACATTCTCAATTTGGAAACCAAACACAAAACTGTCAAAGTATTAGTAGGAGAGCTAAGGATATGCTCCGCATCAATTATACCTCTCAAGATCATAGTAAGCACCCTCAGAATAGGTACGGCACATCTTACGGGAGCGAAGTAATCTGATTGCATCTTCACAAAATAGAGGATATATTGTGTGATCCTGGCTGCCAAAACATAAGGGGTGAACACAATGAAAAGCAACACAAAGATGAAATGAGGACAAAACATGAAAAGCAAGCAAAGTCAGCAACAGAATAAATTACTGGAACAAAACTCAGCTGGAACTTTGGTGCGTTTTGCAAAACTACTTTTAAAAATTCAGGTACGTTGGCCTGCAACTGAGACTACGAGAAGGTCTCACACTACAGTTTCATCTATTGTAAACTTTAACATAGCCACATATGTATGACATTCTGCATATGAAAATCACAGTATTAGCAGGTATTTGTATTTGTTGATTTAAATAATTTTCTTTACTGAATTTTAAAAAGACATTAGAATGATGTAAATATAGCATTATTATCATGGAGCACCAATTATAGACTTTTGACAGTGAAAAAGTGTTTAAAAGTGAAACATATGAAGAATTACTGTGTTTGTCTACACACTCTATTAAGAAAGCTAACGCTGATATTAAGTCAACACTACTAAGTTTTCTACAACTATACACAGACTAATAAAACCAGAAGTGGACATGTAGATACATAGAAGTACATGCAGTATCCACACAAAGTCACACAGAGTAAAACATATACCTGGCATCTCTGTAATGGTGATCTGTGGACTGAGTGTATCGGGAACGAGGTAAAGTAACATAATGACTGAGTAGATGGCAGAAAGAAAAATATAAATGTAAGACAATAAAATGGAAAAGGAACCATACACATCACACAACAAAAGATAAAAATCTGAGAATACAGGAGCTACAAAAGCACTGAAATTATTAACAAAATTAAAAGTCTGATACACAGTTCTAACGGTAAAATTATCTAAATGATTCACACATTTATTCTGAGAAGCCAGTGGGAGACTATGGATCAAGCGGATAGCTAAAATTTGGGATTTTCTACATTATTTCCATTAGGAGGAAAAAATGTATAAATCTCTGCCTAAAAGCAATCTCAAGAAGTCAGACTGACTGTTCCCTGGCTTGAAGGCAATGATAACTCGATTATGAAAAATACCTTTGGCAGAGGTTTACCTAGTCTGTCTAAAAGGCTACCACTATTCAGAAATCTGTCCCCACATAGATAGCTCCAGAGCTTTCCCATTTCTGAGTGTAGGTTTTCCTAATATTTATCCTATTGTGATAAAAGATTAATTTAGATGAAAGCCTTGTTATTACTGAAATGATTAATGAAGCAATATAACATCTGTAAAAGAATATGCCAAAAAATGCATGCATTTCAAAATAATAATGACATTTATATTTTCTTTGTAATTTGAAAATGTCACAATTCATATATTCAAAATATAGTTGTATTTGTTACAGTGCTAGATATTTTCGAATTATCAAAAACAGAAGAATGTTATTTCTCTTTTTATGCATGCATTACAGGAAAAATGGTTTCAAAAATAGTTTTTTTCTTGTGATTTACAAGGAATTATTAGAATCTGAAGGAGTTCCTGGTCTACAGCTCCTATGAAGTTGAGGTATTTTAAAGGAATGTCTAATCACGGAAGTCCACATTGGAAGTGTAAACTGATTTCACAAGAAACATGGAAAACTTCATGTTTATCCTCCACTTCTATTTCTCGTATCTTAATTTGCTTATAATTAATGATTTTCTAGTAATCAAACACATTGTTACAGGTAGCTATATCACCTACGCTTACTATATTTACCTCTTTTGCATGTGGATAGAAGGTATCATCAGCCACATGTAAATACTCCTTATAATCATATTAGGTTAATTATATGTAGTACAAGAGAACTTTGTGTTCACTTCTTGTCAAATAAATGCAAAAGTATAGTTGTCACTATAAAAAGTTTCTAACTTAATTAATGCAATTTAATTATGCAATTTAAACTCTGCAGTTTGTTATAAGAATGAGGAGCTGTACACAATTCAGCAGGACCCGATTTGACACAGTATGCTGAAAATTTGATGAGATCCTAAGCAGGACTAACAATTAAGAAAATAATCATAGAGCTACACTGCAGGCTGCAAAAAGGATTAGAGTTCTTGAAAAATGCACAGACCTCAGCACCAAAAGCAGTCTGCCCGTAACAGAATATATGCACATCCACAGGAAGAACAAACAAAAATGTAGGAGTCTACCCCACAGCAGCCATGATACATGTGATGATGGCAAAAAACTGCAAACCAGCTTATTCTCACCTCTATGTGGTGACATTCCCAGGCTATATCCACATGAATATGCCCTTAAATGATTTAGATGCAACCCTGGAATTAACACCACAAAAGTCTTGCAAGTATTACATTAGTATTAATAAGCAATTAAGTGTTTCCAGCTGGTAGATGACATTTTAATGTTAACGATTCACTTTCACTTCCCCTTTTACCTCTCCAGTGAATTGTTGACAAGTTTTCTTGATAGTCTTTCAAAAATATAAGACATCAATAAATATAATATATTCAATCCGTTTTTAAAGAGCAAAGCTTTAAACAAAATTAAGACTTCAAGCAGAACATGTGCTGCAGAACATGAATTTCATGGGAATGCTATTACTATTTGCAAGCAGCTTAACTTACTGTTTGTAAGAAGGAGCACCCCAGACTGATCCCTTCACTTACTTGTATGTGAATGAAACACCATCAGTTAATGTTCTGCTTAGGATATGAGTCCTAACCATTTTCAAATCCCCACTAAACTATTCTAAGTGCCCAACATCTGGTATCAAGTTTTGTCTAATACTTCTAGAAAGTCAGAGCTCTAATATTCTTACCAAGTTCTGAGACTTTTGCTTGCGAATGTATGTCAGGCAGTTCAAACTTGTTTGTGGGCTTGTTTTCTTTTTTTTTTTTTTTAATTCAGGAATTCAGAATCAGAGTAAACTGTCATTTAGATACAATCACTTATACAGTTTGATATGTAATAACTTTTAACAAGTTTGAAATATGCTTCCTCATCACCTAGAACCCTGCTTGTCTATACAGACAAGTGAGGTAAGCTTTAGCTTATACTTGACCTGACCCTCTGGCATTACTGGCTATTCACACTTCTCCCTATTCTTTAGAGCCCGTATTATCCATGCTATCTAACTCATAATAAATAATAACTCACTATAAAATGTTCTTACAAGCTCACAATAAAAAATGAGAAGATTACATCTGAATTCATTAAGAAGAAAAATCAGTTCTATACATGAATCAATGCAGTAACTTACTAGAGTACAAGGCATTCATCATAAATCAAGAACATATAACCTAACAATGTTTCTGCATTTTAATAGTATCTCTAACCATACAACAATACTAATTATAAAGGTATTATTCATGTAAGCATGTTACATAAATAATATTGGTGTTATTCATGTAATATTGGTTTCTGTTGAAGTACAGTAGTATTTTCCATAAAATATGTACAAATAGTAAAAAAGAAAAGAAAGGTGCATGCCATATCAGTATGGAAGGGAGAATGATTGACATCACATAGGCCAAAATATGATAGTACGCACATTAGGAGGCAGCACATTTTTCTGTGCTTTATGTATTTCAACATGCAAAGTAAAAGGCTTAGATGCTATCTTCTGAGCATCCAGTCAATGCTCCACTATTTGTTTCTTTATTATTAATTCTTTATGTATTTAGCTTAAAATCACTTATTTGGTTTTAATAAATATGTTAACAATGTAACACCAAAAATGCCTAAAACATATCTAATTCTCACTGTCCAAAAGTGAAACATATGCAACTATCATTTGGCTAATAGCCAGTCTAAAACACTTAAAATCATACTGTAAATAAATCATAATGTAGTAAAATCTTTAAGCTCTGTATTGCCTAAGTGCAAAAGAACTCCAGAAATATTCCAGATCAGTATCTAAAATAAACTTGTCTTTTGAGCTGTTTATGAAAATCATGATCTCATATGCACATGTAGATGGGAATGCTCGGAAGACCATGGAGACACGGACAAAGTTTAGATATAGCAGATTTTTAAAAAGACAAAAGAATCCCAAGATGCCTTTTTTTTTTTTTTTTTTTTTTTTTTTGGCAACCTTAAATTAGACTTCTAGCCTTTTACCACACATTCCTTACTTGCTACATTGTAGTAGTCGATGACAGAAGTATATCAAATGATGGGATGGCAAAATGAAAATATTAGTCTGCATCCTCACAGATTTCTGAAACATTACATATTTTGTTACAGATAGTATTGACAGAAAATTTTCAGCAGTAACTCATTTCACCTACATTAAAATAATGAAGCAAGTCTGATAAAGCAGCACTATAGGTTTTGCAATATGATCATTTATGTACACACACACGCACACACATCCTACAGACACCTCTGTATCCAGTGAAAACCGATTTCCACTATTCTGATAGGAAGATTTCAGACATATAGGCAAACATGGTAAATTTCCTTTTTTAAAGTGAACAGAAAATGATGACTTAGAATTTTCTGATATCACTCGTCTATTTGCCCATTTTCTTACACCTTCATGAAAACTCAGTGAACCATAAGGGTAACAAAACAGAGATCAGTGATACAGTGACCGATTAGATTGCCCAATTGGAAGTACTTAGTATCCAGGATCAGACTTGACATACCAGAACAGTCTCAGAAGCACACTTGAAAGCACACACACATACAGAGTGCCTCACGTGAACTGCCCATGCCATACTTTTCTGTTCTTCTCACTGTGCAAGGGGGGTTTAACTTTGTCTTTACTGCTTGGTATATTTTATTCAATAGTAAAGATGAGGCACTAGAAGATAATATTTTCTTTTCAATTTTCATTCTCTGTGATCAGTTCTCACAACGTGATTAACATCCCAGCTTTCCTGTTAGATTGGGAAGTTGACTCCTGAGTATTTCTGTGGAAAGGATGAAGTACTGGAGTACTATTACATCCTGACAATCTTGTGCTTATTGGAATATCCATAAATAATTCTGAATGCAAAACAAGACTTTCTGTTCCACTGTTAGAACCTGCATGAATCAAACTCAGTTGACACAGGAAACTTCTATCACCCTAATTCTGTTTATCTATTCTGATAGTCAGCATTTTCCAGTGTATTATCTGATTGTAATTTAAGTAATACATTGTATCATTTGCAACACTACTATCCTCCATTTTATTAACACTCTTTTAGACTTTTTCAATAGAAATAACAAATTAGATGTATGATAAGTAAGAAATTATTAAGATTGCTAAAAAATAAATATATTTTTTTACTGGTATGAATTTGCCTTTAACCAAATACTCCCAAACTTTTTAAGTTACAATTTTCTGAAAATGTAGTGATGTCAATAAAAGGGAATTAGCTTAATCAGACTGCAGAGTAAGAAACAGGTGGTTCTTTGGGTCGATTATTCAGACATTTAGGGGAAAAAGAGCCATTCCAATTAGCAGAAGGGAAGAGAGAGGGCTGGCATATGAAACTTAGGGTAAGTACTGTGGGAAGGAATGAAGTGGGATCAATTTAGGACTGCAAGATTGAGGGCAAAATTGCTCAAGGGAAGAGGAGGCTGGAACTAATAAAATTATGTGACTTCAGGGAAAAGGTGTGCTATACTTCCTATTAGCAGCTTACTCATTCCAGCAATGACTACCACTACTACAACTAGTTACTTTTTCCAAACAAGTGAGGCCAGTGATATGGTTCTAAAAGTTTAGATTCTCATC